CTGCGCTGGCACCGGCACAGAGGGGCAGAGTCCCAGGCACTTAGCTCCTCGTGACAGCAGCACCGGTGGGCGTGGGGAAAGCGCAGCGGAGGGGACCGGCGAGGAGGACAGAGGCCAGGTGCAGGGGGCCCGGGGTGGCAGGCGAGGCATCTGAGCAACTTCATTCTGAGGGTCTTGGAGGAACAGCTGCATTTTCTAGGAGAGCTGGGGATGGATTTGAATTTGGGACCTACAGAATGAAAAAGTGCTTAGGAGTCTGGTACCGACTTCCCCTGAGAGGAAGGAAGGAAGGAAGGAAGGAAGGAAGGAAGGAAGGAAGGAAAAATAATTTGGAGGAAAGTTGGTGATCGATGATGGTGATGATGACAGGTACTATTATCTCTACTGTTTTTTTTTTTTTTTTCTTTTTGAGTGAGTCTCACTATGCAGTTCAGGCTGGCCTTGAGCTCACTTTGTATCCCAGGTTGGCCTTGAACTCACAACGGTCCTCCTGCCTCAGCCTCCCCAGTGCTGGGATTATAGGTGTGTCCACCACGCCCAGCTTTATCTCTACTTTTCACATGGAGAAAGCGAGCCAAGAGCTAAGTGGCTGGGTTGGGGTGATGAGCATGTCTGAACCTTGCAGAATGCATCATCTGAAGCCCCTGCAAGGTTTTCTAGGCTCCTCTGTAGAAAAGCTCCAGCCAGGTATGGTGGTCCGTGCCTGTTATCCCAGCACTCTGGGAGGCTGAGGCAGGAGGATCACAAGTTCAAGGCCAGCCTGGGCAATTTAACAATTGAGCAAGAGCCTGTCTCCAATTAAAAGGCGTATTGCTTCCCGACCTTTTGGTTGAGATCAAGTGTAAAATTAAAAGGCGTGAGGGATATAGCTCAGTGCAAAGGCCCTGCATCAGTACATACACACACACACACAGACACACACACACACACACACACACACACACACAAGCTACGCATCCTCCTGACCCCCAGCCTTCAGTATCTGGCGCTCCCACGTTTCAGTCACTGTTACCAGTTTCCCTTCTACCCCCCACCTCACCTTAGCCAAGGAGCATGCTTAGCCAAAGGGATGCCGGGACAGGACTGCACTGCACAAGCCTTGCGACAGGGGGGCACAGGGCGCTGGAACCCTGGTGCCAAGATCACACCTTCCCAGTTACAATACAGCAGAAACCAAGACTTCGGGAACAATTAGAAAACTAAGAAAGTGAATGTGTTGCATTTGTAACAATAATAACAACTCCACAAAAACGTAACATTTCAATGATGTCAGAAAGGGCCCCCTGCACTTACCCCCTGCTTTCTGTAGGGGAAAGGGTAGGGTCCTGCAGGGGAGAGCCTGTGCTTGTCTCCCACAGGAAGCTCCTCTAGCTCCATTTCCCTTTCCCCAGCTTCGGTCCAGGAACACCCAGTCTGACTTCAACAGCCGCAGGGGATCAACAGGATGGTCACTCCAAGGGAGCCCCACCCCTGCTGTCCTCAGTACAGCTGGGGGGCGGGCAGTGCCTGTGCTTCCAAGTTGCTTCTCACCAACCTCTCAGAGAGACTAAGGGCCAAGGATGGAGCAGGTAGGTGACCAGGACAGCTAGTGGGTCTTTGGGAGGGTTTTTAGGCCAAAAAAGCCCTAGTTTCAACCATCACTTTTTTTTTTTTTTTTTTGGAGACAGGGTCTCCCTATGCAGTTCAGGTTGGCCTTGAGCTCGCTTTATAGCCCAGGCTGGCCTCAAACTCACAATGATCCTCCTGCCTCAGCCTCCCAAGTGCTGGGATTACAGGCAGGTGCCACCACCCCCAGCTCAACCATCACTCTTGAACCAAATGAAATGGGCCACCTGAAGTCACGTAGGAAGCAGCCTGCCTGGCAAGCCCAAGGTCCTGAGTTCGATTCCTGGTACCAAAAACAACAGATAAAGCCACATAGGAAGCAGTCGGCCTCAGACCTGTAGGCAGAAGGCTATTCACGAGGCTGTTGTAGGCAGAAGTTAGTTAGTTTATTTATTTTTTGTGGGTTTTTTTTTTTTGTTGTTTTTGTTTTTGTCTTTTTCAGACAGGGTCTCACTATGTGTTTCAGGCTGGCTTTGAGCTCACTTTGTAGCCCAGGCTGGCCTCAAACTGGCAATGATCCTCCTGCCTCAGCCTCCCCAATGCTGGGATTACAGGCATGCGCCACCATGCCCGGCAAGAGGCAGAAGTTAGAATAGCCCCTTGCATCCACCTCCCTCACCACCTTAACTGTAGGAAGAGACGCCCCTGAGACCCGAGAGCTTTTTTTTGTTTTTTTCCGGTACTGGGGATCGAACTCATGACCTTGGGCTTGCTGGGCAGGCACTTATGCCACTGAGCTATATCCCCAGCCCCCAGAGTGCTTTTTAGAGCAGAGATCTGTTCCCAGCAATCTGGGGGCATAGCGGCGGGAAGCCCAGACCTCAGGAATCCAAACCTTGTCTGCATTTCGAGGTTTCACTTTTCAATAAAACTGCCACTAACTTTGTGGTCTCTAGGGCACAGAGTTCTTACCAACCCTCTGGGGAGATTTTGCCTCGGGCACATCTCCCTCATTCACACACACACACACACACACACACACACACACACACACCCGGGTCCTGTTCACACCCACATGCCTCTGGCCTGGGAAGGATTTCTGTGACACACGAACCTTTCCTTGACCTCAAAGTAAGAGGTCCTTGAGGGTCATCCTGCATCTTTCAGGCACCACCAGACCCCTACCCACGGAAGGGACGTGAGCACACATGAGGTGCAAGCAGTGTTCTTCTAATACTGGGTCACAACCCAGAAGTGGATCCTAAAATCTATTTAAAGAGCATCTTTGAAAGTGAAATAGAATACACAATACCTGCAATAGAAAATATCAGACGGTACGCACGGGTCGAAGAGAAGCACTATGCCATGAAACTGTTGTTTCTGCTACCTCACAAAATGCATTTCTTGCTATGGGCCCCTGAACCCCTGGACAAAAGAACCCTGGATAAGACCTAAAGATGCACAGAGCAAATTCATAAGATGTGCCCGTTTTCTGTCAGGCACTAAGCCAGAAGGCCCCCCAAAACTTCATTTTTATTATTATTATTATTATTTTTGTCTTTTTGAGACAGGGTCTCGCTATGCAGTTCAGGTTGGCCTTGAGCTCACTTTGTAGCCCACGCTGGCCTTGAAGTCACAACGATCCTCCTGCCTCAGCCTCCTGAATGCTGGGATTACAGGCATGCACCACCACGCCCGGCTCCCCCAAAACTTCAGTAATGAAGAGGACAGCATCTCAATATACCTTCTAGTTGGGAAGCCAATAGACTTACCATTCCCAGACAATGTGGCAAGTGCCCTGTGAGCATATGTAGCCTACAAAACCCTCATATGAGAGTAGGCATCTGGGAAGGGTTCCAAGAGGAGGTGGCGCAGAGTTCTCAGGAAGAAAAGATAGCGATTAGGTTCTAGCATCTCCTTCATCCTGTAGACAGAGAACTATGGTAAAGTGTTAAGAACTCAAGTCTAAATGTCTAAAGACAAGCCCTAGTTCTGATTTTCTTTTTCAGAAGCGAGACCTTAGAGGACTCAATATTTCAGACTGTTTCTTTGCCTACAGAATGGGCATAATTGCTGCTGTTAACCTCAAAGAAGTGAGACATGCAAATGAGACAACGTATATGAAGGATTTTTTTTTTTTTTTTTAATCTTTTTGAGACAGGGTCTCCCTGTGCAGTTCAGGCTGGACTTGAGCTCACTTTGTAGCCCAGGCTGGTTTCAAACTCACAGCAATCCTCCTGCCTCAGCCTTCCCAGTGCTGCGCCACCATGCCTGGCTATGAAAGATTTTTGAAATGCTAAAAGGGAATGGACTGTCTCTGCGGATGGAGGTAGAGAGGTAAAAGTGTTCTACCCACCACTGCAGTGGTCGGGTCCCAGCGCCTCCTCAGCCCTCCGCTCCCTGTTCCTGCTGCCACAGACCTGCCCTGCAGGAGGGCAGGGGCCGGGACAGACAGGCCTCCTAGCATCCTGAACACTGAATATTTATCGTGAAGATCCTGTTCTCTTCATGGTGGGAGGTACATATGTCAGAACTTCTTTTTTCCTCTGTTAATGAATTAGAAGCTACCCAAACTCAGTGTTTAAAGTTACATAAGCATCATTCAGATCTTCTGTAACAGCCACTTTCATTTTTAAAAAAACAGAATTTCCATGAAAATGGTGTTATATAAAAAGAGTGTGAGTGTGTGTGCAGGAAGAGCAGCACAGGCGGGCAGAAGCACCGTCAAGGCACACAGGCACCGACGTGTCATGATGAAAGGGACTGGGAAAGTTTTTTTGTTTTTGTTTTTGGTCTTTTTCAGATAGGGTCTCGCTAGGCAGTTCAGGCTCACTTGAGCTCACTTTATAGCCCAGGATGGTCTCGAACTCAGAACGATCCTCCTGCCTCAGCCTCCCGAATGCTGGGATTACAGGCATGTGCCACCACACCCGCCTTGAACCTGGGAAGTTTTGACCCACTTGTCCCTTGAACACCAGGGAGACCTGATGCGTGCTGGGCAATGGGACGTACAGCAGGAAGCCCACTAGCTGCCCCACCCCCTAGGGCCCAGACAAGTTCTGGCCTTTTGGGGAAGCCCTTTCTTTGGCAGGGTGAGTTCCATTGTGTCGCAGCATATTCGAGTTAGAAGCAGCTCAGAAAGCACCTCTTGGGGCTGGGGATATAGCTCAGCAGCACAAGTGCCTGCCTGGCAAGCGCAAGGTCCTGAGTTCGACTCCCAACACACACACACACACACACACACACACACACAGCACCCTCACAAACTTGCTGTACACCAGTCCCGCCAACCTTGACCTGAACAGCCCTCTTCCTCCCAAGGCAGTTCACATCACCTGTAGGCAGATGTAGATCAACGAAAAGGACCCGATACTGAGCTGGAACCTGCCTTTCTGGAGCTTCCACCTTGTGGAGACAAGCGGAAATCTCTGGAAATCTCTCACCTACAACCTTGAGCTGCGAATTTATGAGTTTAAAGTCCAAGAGGGTCCCCCGGGGCCCTAAAGAGCATGCAGGGAGCAGCCGGAGGCCACAGAACTGAAACTTCAGCCTGAGAGACCTCCAGCCAGCTCGACTGAGGGCGGGACTATCAGGGAAGGGGTGCCCGAACGAAAATAAAGCGAGGAGCTCAGGAAAGCCTTCTTCCTCACGTCCGCGTCTCATCTGAACTGCGGTGGTCCCAGTCCCGAGGTCGGTCCCAGCTTGGGCACTGGGGTGCTAGGTCGTCTCCCCTCCCCAAACCCCTTTCGGGATGCCATGGTTGCACTCTTTCCCGTGAATCAGCGCGTCCTAAATCGGGCCAAGCAGGAAGTAAGGCAACTGCCCCGAGCCCCGGCCCAATCCAGTTTAAACTTCTGGGCTCGCCCAGGTTGCCCAGGTTACCCGAAGGGCGGAACCATTCCGCCTCCCCGAGCAGGCGGCGGCGACTGGAACACCCGAGCACCGAGCAGGAAAACGTGAGCTTTGGAGTGGCCTTTTTAAGTAGTTGGGAGGGGGTGTGGCCGAGGAGACGGGGAGGCCGCAGCTCGGCGAGGGGGAGTGGCCCGGAGGCGTGGCCGTGGCGATTGGAATGTTGTTGGGTCCTCGCACCGCATAGTAAGGAGGGGCCACGCCCCTTTTCTCCGAGAGGGCCAATCGGAGCGCCGGAGCGGTTTCAAGTCTCCCCCGCCAGCCTGCCCGCCCGCCACCCCACCCCCCCTCGGGGATTCGCGTTTTCCGTAACAAAATAGCTAAGCTCTGGATTGTCCGCAGCCCCGGCCGCTCGCGAGTGGAGGGTCCCGGGGCCTAGGACGCCGGCCCGGGGTGCGAAGCACCGGCAGGCCGTGGCAAGGCCGGGTCAGCTGCCGAGAGGCGCGCGGGGGTGGGCTCTGCAGCCGCGGGTTGTTTATCTGGAGTACGGAGGGGAGGGGGGAGCCTGGAAACCGCCCCGTGTCCCATTTCCTCCTCTTGTTTTCGCTCCGGATTCTCCATGTTGGACCCAAACTGAGGAGCCCGGAGCTGCCACCGGGGGATCGGGGCCGGGGGCACCCGGGGGAGCCGCTGCCCGGGCCGCCCGCCCTCCGTCCAGGCCACCTCCCTTCGCGGCCCGGGGAGGAAACGAGAAGGGGGGATGTGAACAGCGGTGGGAGCCGAGACTAGGGAGCCAGAGCGGAGCGGGCCCCCGCCCAGGCCCCCAGCCCAGCCCTGCCCAGCCTGCGCGCCCGCCCGTCCTCCCGCCCAGCCAGCCCGGGCCCGCGGAATTGTTAGATGGAACACGGCTCCATCATCACCCAGGCGCGGAGGGAAGACGCCCTGGTGCTCACCAAGCAAGGTAGGGGCAGCAACTTCCCAAAACTTTGCGTCGCCCCCGG